TTAATTTTTATTACGAAATTCGAAGTTTAGATTAAACAGCACTTCGCACGGCTATTCGAGAAAATTAAAAAACAGAAAAGATTTCTAAAAAAATATAACAGAAAAATAAATAAATACACACTAAAAGCTGTGATGCGAAGTTGAGAACGTTTCTTTCTGAAACTAACTTTTACTTCTTTGCTAACTATAACAGTTTAAAAAAATATGTGGCATCTCAAAAATTGTACTCTTAAACAAAAACCATTTTTTGGAACAGGGTTGCCATATAGAAAAATTAATAAATCAGAAAATTTTAAAGCTACTCCTTCATATGTAGTTCTCTCTTCTATGCTAAATTTTTTAAAAATTAAAAGAAAAATAGTGAAAGCCTTTAAACCAAGCAAACTTCAGTTGGAGCGAAGCTATAATTCCTTTCACAAATACTAAATATTCCTTCCAAAAACTAGGTTCTGATCGTTTAGTTTATATGGGAGCTATATGCTAAAGTGATCCGATCTGAATAACTTCTTCGAAGAATCATCCAGGACAACTTTTTTTTAAAGATAACTCAACGAAAAAAGTAAAAAAAAATATTTTTCACATTAATAAATATTTTCGCCACTACCAACCCACTGTGCAACAGCTTTTAAACGAATTTTTGATATTGGCGCCAGTAGAGCTAATCAAAATTATTGTGTAAAAAGTATTTACAAAGTATGAAGTCTACAAAGCAATTTTCCCGTTATTTATAGCATACTTTTATTGCCTATAACAATTTACATGCCACTCTTGTGCTGACAAAACACTGAAAAATAAAAAAGAAACAATAAGAAAAAACAAAAAGCGAAACCCACTTTGAGTAACCCTTGCAAATAGACGATGGCAGCACGAAATTGAAAACAAATTTTGGCAAAAGAAATGCCGGCCGAAATATACGAGGAATTTAAAAATCATTACACATTTTATATTAGCCCTTTTTCTGAGAGCGAGAGTGGTGTGTGCCTGGCTGTGTCGCCGCCTTAGTCATGCAAATACAATTTAAACATGACCGCCATGTAGGAGACTGCGCTGAGAGCACAGCTTCCGGCCGAACAGACTTTCAGCTTACAATCGTACGTTTGTATGTGTGTATGCCACAACATAAAAAGTTTTATAACTTTAATGAAAAAGCCAGCAGTAGGAGGCTGCCGCAGCCAAAGGGCCAAGTGACACACAATCACGCGCAAAGTTCAAAGTGGGTTAGTCATAAATTTGAGCCACAATTTCACTTTCGGCATGACACACGCACACACACGTACGGCCACTCACATGCACGTGCAAGCACCCACACACATATACATACATGCGCTCGAGTGTGCATCTTTAAAGTCGCATAAATTTCCACCATTTTGCCTTGTCGCTACTTTTTTTACTGTCCCTCCGGCTTCAGGCGCCTACATCTTTGCTTGCCTGCTCATATTTCTTTGGCTTTCAGCCTTTGTTGGTTGGGTCCTTAAGGCTCTTAAATAATAATACGATTTGGCCAAATATTAAGCAAAATGAATGTGGTCTCTTGTGAGCGCATATGTAGAACGATATTTTATTTTTTTGGCATGTAGGGTTTGTATATGTCTACATAGTGCTTGCATGCTCATTTCACATACTTATGTAATATATAAATATATGTTTCATTAGTGTAATATAAAATTAGTGCCGACTGGGTTGACCTTTCCCCACTCAAACTCACGTAGCTCGCTATCATAATTTTTCATTTTGTTCGAGTATGTACTTATATGTGCAGTTATTTGTAATGAAATATACGATTATGTGGCATGTGAATGCAGATAATAATACAAAAAAAGTTCAGTTTCCTTGCACGTGCTCTCTGTTTTTCGGTAATTTGGTGGTAAATAAAATACTGATCGCAGATTTAGAGCTAATGCTTACTCATGAGGCGTCGCTGGTTTGAACCTTTTATGTTTCGTGTTTCAGTAATTTCAAAACATATTAATTTTAAATTATTTGGACTTAAGCAAAACAATACTAATGGGTGATAAAAATCAACTTTTCTCCAAATTTATGATGGTTAATCGAGGCTAACTTCAATTAGCAACGATAACGAAATATTTTTGTAGACAACTGTTAGAAAATACGATTCAAAACATTTGTGTACTAGGAAGGGTTTTTAAATCACTGAAATCTTTGGAACTTTTTCCACCCTCTCATGAAAGACTCTACTATGCTTATCTATAGTCCTACACAGTTTTAAGCAACAATATATACCGAGCGCTTCTCGTGTTGATAACGATCCTCAAGATCTTTCTATGAAAACTTCATCTTGCATACCTTTGCCATTTTTGTTGCCTCTCTTGCCGAAGAAAACTTATTTACGCGTCACAACACATTTAATCTCTTTTTTATTACACCAATAATCTTGTGAGCCAATACCAATTAGACCAATAATTTCATTTATGAGAGTTGCTTGTTCGATTCGCCTCTGACGTATGTAGATAGCGACTATGAAAATCGTCGGGCAAGTGTTATGGAGATGGTAAGAGATCTCGATATCTCTCGCGAGTCCGTTCAAATGATTTTCATCGATATTTTGGATATGAAATGCGTTCTGGATAGACTCGTTCCGATAAAGCAAAATCTTTTCCAAAAAGAATACCATAAACAGGTCTCTTTGGACATGGCTGATCGTCAGAATTATGATCCCTCATTAATGAATGAAAAGGGAATGGAGTGTGCTTGGCAGCTGCTTGTTTTCGTCTGGCGATTTTTAATACAGATAAACATAATTGAATGAAGAGTTTGTCCGAAATTCTGTGTTTCCAAGGAAATCAAGGTACGGAATCGTTAAAAATGTTGTAGAATACGAGCATGTATGTAGCACAAAGCGTTCAGCAAAGGTAGTGAACTTCGATAACATCGAAAAACCTATCCTAGCCGAGGATTTATTTAAATTAATTGTTAACATGTTTTTATGTCTCAAGAGAGAGAGACGATAAGAAAGATATATTTTAAAATATGTGAAAATTCATATTTTTTTTGGCAGTCCGGGTCAAATTAATCAGATAGTATCATCCACATGCGAGCAGTTGCGGGTCCTTGCTCCCTGGGTTCTTCTTCACATCTGAGTATTCTGACCTGTTGAAATTTGCGTGAAGCGCAGGCGTCCTAAAGGATGACTATTCCTCATGGACCTAGTAACTGAACTCCATCTGGTATCGGAAAGAACCAAAACTGGTCTATGCGTGGCTCACTCGCCTATCAACCTAACCTAAGCTTTCTGAGGCCAAAAATATTATATAATAATTTCAAACAGTCCAATAAGAATATAGATACAATATAGACCACAAATCAAATCTCAAATAGAAAAAGCGTACGAAGAAGAATTGCGTGAGACTAACGCGTTTAAGATAGTTAAAAATACATATGTCAATCATTTGACGCTGGACATACTCTGTTTAGTACTCTCATATTTGAACAAGAACACTATTTTCTTATTAGGTCAGGCAAGATATTCTGAACTACTTGTAAGTATGTAAGTGCATTGAAATCAAAATCGCTTTTAAAATGCTGACTTTGTCATCACGACTGTCGTTTTAGTGATGAATATGGTACATGGAATGGCCATCGAAGGCATCTCTATTATTGAATGATTCGCAGCATTGAGTGATTTTTGAATTTTAAGTACACTTGAGGTTTTTTGGAATTTAATTCACATGTCAGCTGTCTTGAAGGATACAGAATATATAATATGAGAACTTAATGAATATAAAAATGAATTTTTTATTGCTAAGTTGGAAATAAATAGAGCTTTTTTCAGTGTGACTACAATCTACTTGTGAATTTTTAATTTTTGAGTATTCTTGAATAATCAGGTGATACTGAGTATTTAATGAAATGGAGTGGAATCCGTTAAGCTTTGAGGGTATATAGCCGCCACACAAACTGACTGATCCAACTCAAGTCCGTGTATGGAAAAGCTTTTAGTTTGCAAGGTATCTTCACACAATTTTGGGCCGCCATACAAACTGACCTCTCAAAATGAACATAAATATCTTTTTATACCCTTTTTTGCCATAAGAAATACACCAGTGAAGGGAATTTAATACTTGTCATATTCTCTGCTTGAATATTTGAGGTCGGAAATCAACAGAAAATCTGGAGAAATACTCGAACCGCATATTTATTTATGGAATTCTTTACATGAGCATGCTTTAAATTTATTTGTGCGCGAATTACAATAATAAATGAGCAACAACAATTACATAAAATGCCATAAAATTGTTGCAAGCGAAAGTGCGAATTTTAAAGTGTTACCCGAAACATGCCGACGGAGAGTATAAATTCATGAGCATGCAGATGAAAAATTATTATACCTGCCGGATGCGGTAAATATGTGAGTGAATATGTAAAATGGCAGCAAATGATTTCGGGCTGATTTGACTGTGTCAGAGCAGCTGGCAGCAGCTGCAAACGCTCTTCATGAATTTCATATTTTGTATTTGTTGATTTAATGCACTCGTCGAGCTTACACAAACAAATTCACATGATGGCACAGTGCAACCCCCATGCCCCCCTCACTCTCTTTCCGCTTGATCCGTTGGTAAATAAAAATATTTTTGTTGCAATACTTTGAACCACGTGGCGGATGAAGAGTGGACGAGGGAAGTGACTCACAGCGGCGGGGGAAGTATGGGGTACATGTGTATGTGTGCTAGTGAATGAAAGAATCAAACCGAATTTGCAAAGGAGAAAACCAAAAGCTTTTTTCTAGTCAAAAATGTGAAAAGAAGCAATTTATCCCACACAAACACAAACACACACACATTACTCACGCTCAAACAGTGGGAGAAAAGTAAACAAATGCAAAATATCCACATAAATGTGTGTGGGTGTGTGCGTCGTTCATGAAAGCAGTTTGCATATGTTTAAGCGTTGTTGTTGCTATGTGTTTTTGTTGTTATTTTACACTGTGTGTTGTTGTTGTTACTCGATGTGTGTACATATGTCAGCTCAAATTGCGTACTTACCTCAAAATGTGATTTCCTGCTTTTATACTTTGCTCTGTGCTGTTATTGCTGGCTGTTGGTGGTTGTTGTTGCTGTGGCAGTTGTTTTGCTGTTGACATTGGCTTTTACATATTTGCGGATAATGTTGCACATTTGCGTGCATTTATTACGCCCTTCACGTATATGTGTGTGTGCATATGATTTTGTCTGTGTGTCGCTTGGAGCAACAGCTGCTTTGTTCCGCCAGCGCAAAACAACTCCCGTTACAATCGAATAGCGCTTGTGAGTATTGACGAAATACCAAAATATCTGCAATCAAAAAGAAGAAGAAGAAATGTGTTTAAGGTTAACGTGATATCAAAGGCAAATGCGATTGGCGACGTTGTGACATCTATTGGCAATAAGAAAAATATAAAATATGCTAACATTGGTGGGTGGAGTTTGAAAAAATTGTAGGCAAATCGCAAAAAAATTAGAGTATTTTGGAAGTCAATAGAAGATTATAAAGAACCACATTTCTTTAAACTAGACAAAGTCAGTTGAATAATTTTTTTATTAAATTTTATAGTAAATTTTTTTCACAGGTTAGGTTAGCCTAGAGCTACATATAAAAATACCTAATAACCTAAAAAGACCTAACTTCTTATGAATATGAATGTTTGAGGCAGTTAAGACCACACTCATCGATCCAAATACCTGGATGGAATAAAATTTGAACAGCTGAGTACGACGATCCTAACTACTTCTAAGCCTCTCAAAAATCTACCAAAAATACCTTTAACACCTCCACAAATGTATAGAGGCGGCTAATATCAAAAAGTTTTAAGGTGCCATTTCGCCAGGTTCGTTGAAAATGTGACATGTTTCAATCTCATGTTCAACCTCAGTCTTGCCGTACAATAGAGGAAAAAGTGCTTGAATTTTTCAACCTCATCCTGCCTCATACAACTTTGGGAGCGTTAATTCTTCCACGCGCATGCCTATTAGGCAATGGCCGGTACCAACTCTCACAATTGCGGCGAGATTAACCTTTCTGAAAGGAAATAGTTGAGTAAATCCCCTGCGTTCTACACTAGGTAAGAAGAATCTCCTAATCATACAGCAGCTAGTTGTTGACCAGCGACTGCTAAGCTGTTGCGAAGTTCTGTCGTTCTTTTCTAGAACGCAAGCGGATAACGGAGACCGAGCTCGGTTGCAATCGGGGAAATGGTTTCTCTAACGACCTCGTGGGCTTCATAGTTTCCAGCGATTCCATTTCGACCAGGCATCCAAACGAGTCTGAAAACAAAAACAGCAACAACAACGAGCAAGGAAATTGATGCTTACACCAACAGACGAGTAAACGAGACCATTCACCGTACAGTCGCGTCTACGTGGCCGGAACGGACTCGAATTTATGTCCGTCCAAAGCCTATTAACTCGCCAGAATTCTAACGCTACAACAACAACAAAAACAAGTCTGATAATACAGTAAGATGATGCTATCGATAGGCAGGACATACACTACTTAACTTATTTTGAGCACACAGTGAGCAGCTGAAATTGGAGTGAATGCTCATCTCTCTGAAAGAGGCTATACTACAGCTGATTGAAGCCAACTCTGCTTGAAAAACGATCCAAAGTTGTCGATGAATAATGATAAAAATTTATATTGTGGATTGATATTTTCATGGAACGAAGATTGGAATGTAAGCTAACACGATGAATTTGAAGTAGAATAGAGAGACAAAATTTTGAGAGCATACATAAGTTAAATTGCTTGTTACCAAATACAATCCTATAGAAGAATATTTATAGCTATAACCGTTTACACAAATGTTACGTGTGTACTTTCTTCAAGAGACTCCAAGGTTCCAGTAAATTACGTCTCAACAATCCTTCAAAAGCAGTTTATTAACAAAACTCCAAACGTGGTCAAGCCACACGTCGGATTATCCGCATAGACTTTAGACTTTACATATCCATACAGGAAATATTCCAGGGTGTGAAATCACACGATCTTGGTGGCCAATCGACCGGCCCAAAACGTGAAATTATCTGCTCACTGAAGTGTTCTCTCAATAAATCCATTGAATGATACGATGTGTGGGAAGTGACGCCGACTTGTTGCAGCCGATTTTGTATCGCCGCGATCACTAGCTTCAAATTCAGGTATCAAGTTGTCAGTTGGCGCGATAAGCAGCATGGTCGTCATTGACAGTAGAGATACTGGCTACTGGCATAACTCCGACAAGCATCCTTACTAGGTGTAGTAGTGCTACTATTTTTAGTTTCTGCTAAATGATATATTTATCAGGTTTAAGGAGTTCCTTCGCACTCAAAGGTACTGATATGAGAAATTAAAAAAAAAATCATCGAAATATGTTCGGCAGCATTTTAAATTGGAATGCATCAGAATATTTATGATTCTTCATTTCACCAAATTGAACTCAACTATAAATAACAGGGAAGTAAACTATGCGGTTTCGTGTTGACTGAAAGTTTCAATTTAAAATAACGGGTATATTCACTTATTAAACATATTAGAACATGTTGCTTTTTCTTTCTTCGTTATAAGTTTTTGACAGGTAACTAAAAGAGGGCTATAATAAACTACTTTAATCAATAGCTTCTAAACATGTTTTGTACTTTCCTTCTAAATCTCGGTAAGCTCTTTAATGTGATCACAAAATATTAATTTAATATTAAACTGCCCATGTGTACATATGTATGTGTGAATGTAGGTTTTGTTTATTATAATTGTTATATGATACATGAAAAATTTTGGGCACTTGTAATTACTATGTAAATCTTTGTTTTCCTTTCACCACGCTATTAGTTCCGCCTTCTAGCATGACTTAGGCAGTTTTCATTTCAAGACACATGCCAACATACACACATACTTGTGAGCGATAACAAAGCAGTTCAACATATTTTTTTTTCTCAAATTCCAATCAACATTGCTGTTAAGCGACTTTGAGTTTAGGGCCTCAACTGCGTTTTAACATAAAGGTGATGTATACCAATGTACATGTGTGTACACATATATACTTATATAGATATGTATATATGTATGTCCGAAGCTTAGTTTTTAATTTGCTTCTGGTTTCAAACAAATACATACTGGAACTCATATAAACAGTAACAAAGGCATGTGCATGTATGCCAGCATGTTGTTAAAAATGCTTTATTTCCCTTGAAGTATTTACATACTTGCATACAATTTCTTCTTCTGCAACAACAATTACAAAATAAAGGAGCTTCTTCTGGTCGGAGTTTGGCGTATGACCACAAAACTTTTGAAATATGTCGATTGTATTAAGTGGGTGTGAACGACCGTAGCCCTCGGCACGGCACTCAATTATTTAGCGTTCCAGTGAGAGCTTGCCACGAAAACAATAATAATATATACAAACATAAAATGTGAATATAAAATGCAAAATTTACGCTCTTATGGCTTGACCATAACAAATGAGGTCATAACGGTCGACCGCTGTAATTAAAGACGGCGGCAGAGTTTGTAGGCGCCAGTTGGAGAAAATCACTTAATGGAGATAAAATCGTAAAGACGGAGAATGTATGTAATGAAACTATGTAATTAATTTACGGATGTTTAAGTGAAGAACTGTAATGCATTATATACATTTGTAGTGATTATTAAATAATTTGTAATTTATGAATTTTATTTACGCATTTTTCGGTCAAAAAATACTGTTTGGATATAATAGTCTTTTGCGTTATTTGATTTTACGCATTTTTTTTTTTTTATTACTGTCATAAAACAACCACACAAATTAATGGTGTACGTGCCAAAATGTAGACAAAATGATGTACATGGAGGATTAAGTTATGAGTGTATTTTTTTTTGTTTAATTTTAAAGCCTAAAAAAGGATCAAAAGATACATATACTGTAAGGTGTCATGAAATTAGGTTTCGAAAAAATTTACTTTCAGATGGAAAAGTACGGATTTCACCATTTTTACTCATTACAAATAATTGCTATATTTTCAGGTGTTGTAGGTAGGAGATAAAATTACCATGGTTACGCCAAATTGTAGGCAACAATTTTCCATATATCTTTTGATCCACGACGATCTCTAGTTTTAGGTTATTAGCATATAGGAATCGAAATTTTGGAAAGGATAGAGAATAATTTAAAATATTAAATTTTTTTAAAGAGAATATAAAGAAAGTAAGTCCAGGAAAATAAATGGAATAAAATTTTACTTGATACCGCCCAATTGTAGGCAATAATTTTTGCCATCGCATTTTATACTCCAACGTTGTCCACTTTTAGGATAGTCATGTATATATATCAAGGAAAATACATGGAATAGTTCCGATTTGTCGAGTTTTACTTGATACCAACCCTGGCGATATTTTGTTCTTTAAAATATTTGAAATATTTTTGGTCAGCGATTGTCATAAATATGCGCAATAAAATTATCATAAATGCTCTCAATTTTAGGTCATAATTATGGATATAGCTCTTGATATGAAAAGGTTCACTACCATACGTTAGTGATATGCTATAGAAAAAGAAATATTCGAGAGAACTAACACTCAATAAATAAATATTTCAGATTTGTCTACAAAGAATGTAAAAAAATTTTCGAGAGAACTAACACTCAATAAATAAATATTTCAGATTTGTCTACAAAGAATGTAAAAAAATTATGCTTTAAAGCTCAAGAAATCTATTAAACTCAATATAGAACACAAAAAGTTTTCTATGCTCAGAGATTAAAAATAATTTAGATTCAAACCCAAAACCGATTTAATTATTTCTACCTATCTAAAGAATTTCTTGGCATGAACTGCCATGAAATAGGTGGAGAAATATTGTAAATGCGCCTAGTTGTAGGCATTCATTTTTGCCATACCACTTTATACCCGATAGTTGTCTACTATAAGCAAAGATATGTTCGGAAAACAAAATTATGGCGGGGATGAAGGACTTCATGAACTGATACTGATACATATCATATATTCACTTTTTCTAAAAAAAAAAGGGGACCAATGATGCTGTCAGAACTCAGGAAATATATGAAATTGGACAGAGCTCTTAAAAAGTTATGTGAGTTCAGATGATGAAGAACTTAGTTTCAAACCCAAATTATTAAAATGCTTGTTATTTTTTAGTTATCTTTAAAGCAATGAAAAAATTATTGTAAATGCGCCTAATTGTAGGCAACAAACACTTATGAAGTGTTTAAGTTTCTATGATGGTGCTAAGTCATAAAAAATTTTTGACAACTATCAGGTTAACTAATCAAAATAGTGAGTAAGTATCAATGGTGAAAAAATGGCGCTGTTAGAACTTATGAAG